GAATCTGAAAATATTCGAGTATTATTAATATCGTTTTGAATCTGAAAATATTCAGTTATTATTAATATTGTTTTGAATCTGAAAATATTCAGGTATTATTAATATCGTTTTGAATCTGAAAATATTAAGGTATTATTAACATTGTTTTGAATCTGAAAATATTCAGGTATTATTAACATTGTTTTGAATCTGAAAATATTCAGTTATTATTAATATTGTTTTGAATCTGAAAATATTCGAGTATTATTAATATCGTTTTGAATCTGAAAATATTCAGTTATTATTAATATTGTTTTGAATCTGAAAATATTCGAGTATTATTAATATCGTTTTGAATCTGAAAATATTCAGGTATTATTAATATTGTTTTGAATCTGAAAATATTCAGTATTATTAATATTGTTTTGAATATGAAAATATTCGGGTATTATTAATATTGTTTTGAATCTGAAAATATTCAGGTATTATTAATATCGTTTGGATATTAAATTTAAGCCTTCTAAATGATAAAGTGGGGATTATTAAACCTTCTGATTGGCCACGTATGAAATCTTACGTCTTCTGAATTTTTAAATATCAATCTTGTTAATAATTGGTAAAGTTAAGTAAACAAAATAAGATACTCTTACTCTTCCATCTCCTTCTGCTAATGATGTTCCACACTTCCGACAGGCGGCTCTTTTGCAGTCCGAACACCTGGATTTAGTTTCAGCTGTCAGTACAGTCACGTGACACTGCGGACACAGGTGTTGCTTCTGCTGGTGACAGTGAGGTGGCGCTAAGCTAGTCGAAGGAACTGTTTCTTGTCGAGGGTGCTGGACTTTCCTGTAAAGCATAAAAAAATATTATATTTTAAAATAGCAATGCTTCTGTAAATACATGCGATCCTGGACTGTAAATAAACAACCTGATTCAAACAACAAAGATTTTGTGTTTAATAAACACATCCATTTTTGGTCAAGAACAGTTATAGACAGGTGGGTCTTTCACCTGTTACTTTAGTTGCTTTGTTATAATTTCTGAAGAGAACACATTTGTAGAGTGCACGTTAAGTCATCTAATACTCACCTTTGGATTAGGCTTAGCTAGACAGGTGGGTCTTTCACCTGTTACTTTAGTTGCTTTGTTATAATTTCTGAAGAGAACACATTTGTAGAGTGCACGTTAAGTCATCTAATACTCACCTTTGGATTAGGCTTAGCATTCAAAGTATTTCGAGGTTGCTACAATTTTCACTGTTAATGTCATCAAAGAGAGTTTCATTTCACAGGATTTAATCATAGAACATCCATGTGTTAAAAATTAAAAACCAAACAAAATAAGATACAATCTTTTCCTTACACGGTGATACGAAAAACTGGGCATTTATTGAACAGTAAGACCCGAAAGATGGGTGCAATACGGAACAAAATAACAATATAAACACTTCCTGATATGATGCAGCAGTAACATCTAGATATATGAACCAAATCATCAGTAACATCTAGAGACATGAATCAAATCATCATTAACATCTAAAGACAAGAACCAAATCATCAGTAACATCTAGAGACATGAATCAAATCATCATTAACATCTAAAGACAAGAACCAAATCATCAGTAATATCTAGAGACAAAAACCAAATCATCAGTAACATCTAGAGACATGAATCAAATCATCAGTAACATCTAGATATATGAACCAAATCATCAGTAACATCTAGAGACATGAATCAAATCATCAGTAACATCCAAAGACAAGAACCAAATCATCAGTAACATCTAAAGACAAGAACCAAATCATCAGTAACATCTAGAGACAAGAACCAAATCATCAGTAATATCTAAAGACAAAAACCAAATCACCAGTAACATTTAGAGACAAAAACCAAATCACCAGTAACATCTAGAGACAAGAACCAAATCACCAGTAACATCTAGAAACATGAATCAAATCATCAGTAACATCTAAAGACAAGAACCAAATCATCAGTAACACCTAGAGACATGAACCAAATCATCAGTAACACTTAGAAACACAAACCAAATGATCAGTAATATCTAGAGACAAAAACTAAATCACCAGTAACATCTAGAGACAATAACCAAATCATCAGTAACATCTAGAGACATGAATCAAATCATCATTAACATCTAAAGACAAGAACCAAATCATCAGTAATATCTAGAGACAAAAACCAAATCATCAGTAACATCTAGAGACAAGAACCAAATCACCAGTAACATCTAGAGACATGAAACAAATCACCAGTAACACTTAGAAACATGAACCAAATCATCAGTAATATCTAAAGACAAAAACTAAATCACCAGTAACATTTAGAGACAAGAACCAAATCATCAGTAACACTTAGAAACATGAACCAAAGCATCAGTAATATCTAGAGACAAGAACCAAATCATCAGTAACACCTAGAGACATGAAACAAATCACCAGTAACATCTAGATACATGAACCAAATCATCAGTAATATCTAGAGACAAGAACCAAATCATCAGTAACACTTAGAAACATGAACCAAATCATCAGTAATATCTAGAGACAAAAACCAAATCACCAGTAACATCTAGAGACATGAAACAAATCATCATTAATATCTAAAGACAAAAACTAAATCATCAGTAACATCTAGAGACAAAAACCACATCACCAGTAACATCTAGAGACAAGAACCAAATCATCAGTAACATCTAGAGACATGAAACAAATCATCAGTAACACTTAAAAACATGAACCAAATCATCAGTAACACTTAGAAACATGAACCAAATCATCAGTAACATCTAGAGACAAAAACCACATCACCAGTAACATC